CTGGAGTAGCCCCACCAGGTGGACTTCCCCCTTGAAGCCTCTAGTGCTGAGCACCCGAGATTTAGGGGTGTGGATCCAGCGTAAGTCTGGATGGTTTCAAGGATCAACCTCGCCATCAGCCTCAGGCCATTTTCCTGTTCTGCTCCTCATTTTCCCCTTGAGCTTCATTACTGCCCTTTTCCAGGCCCAGGTAGAGGGTCGTGTTTTTGTTTCTTCCGAGAGCAGGTAGGGCTGGGATGGGCACGGGCATGGGCGAATCCTATAGGGAGCACGTGTGAAAGCAGGTGCTCTCCGGTGGGTGCTGGGTATTGCCTCCCAGGACTCTGCCTCAGCCTCCAGGCCCTCTCGTGTTGTGGGGGTAGACCTCCTCCACCAAGGCTTCTGCAGGGGCAGGCCCTTAGGGACAGCTGGGTAGGGCGGCATGTCTCCCTTTGAGCTCTGGAAGAAGCTCAGCAGGCGTTCAGGGTCAGGATCTGGCGGGTGGCCCTGTGCCTGTGAGCACTCAGCCCACCTGGTGACCCAGAGACAGCACATGGACCACGGAGCCCTCCTGTCTGTGGCAGACCAGCAGATGTGTCGGCTTTCTCCTATGTGACAAAACCTCTGACATGGACAACTTAAAAGGAGGAAATAGTTGTTCTGGCCCAGAGTTCCAGGTTTCAGCCCCCAGCCCGCTGGCTTTGTGCCCGGGGAGCTGCCATCACGGCAAGGTGAGCCTGGCAGAACACGGGCTGCCACCTCAGGCAGCTGGAGGTGCACGTGAAGGGGCGGGGTCCCGGGCCTCCCCCAGGCCTCATCTCCTAGAAGCTGCTCGGCCTGGGGACTGAACTTGGGCTGCCCAGACCCAAGCTGAAGGCCCGGAGGGGAGCGTCGAGTGCTCTCCCTGTGGGTGGCCTGCCTCTGTGTGGGGCTGTGACGGGGTGCTGCCCAGGCTGCCAGAGCCCTTTTGCTCAGCATTTTTGCGACTCCACTGGTACCAGAAGCCAGGCAGGGGCGTGGCTGTGGTGTGCGTTCCTGCTCTTGGCTGTCACCCCCCAGTGTGAAACACTTTGTCAGAGGAGCACCGACCTGGCCTGCGACCTTGGAGGCCTCTGGCCCAAGGTGCAAGCCTCGATGTCCAGCAGCAGCTGAGACCCGATGCCTTTGCAGGTCCCAGGGCACCCCAGCCCCCCTGGAGCCTTGGCTCAGGAGAGCAGGCAGCCTGTGACTGAAGGCATGGGTTCTGCAAAGGGCTCCTGCAAGTATCGCGTACCCTCGTGTTGCTGCTGGGTTATAATCTGCCTGCAGAAACGCCTGGACGGGGAGACTTCCTTCCCCTTGCATGTGTGCTGAGCCACGGGGACCGAGTCAGGACTTGTTTCCTCGTCCACCTGCATAGCAGAAGGCAGTATGTGGCCGGTCTTTGGGAGAAGTGCTCTGGTTTTGAGACAGAGACCAGCCTTGAGTCACACATGGGACTTGAGCCTCGTGAGACCTTCAGTGGGCCATGGAACCTTAGAGCACAGGTCCTGCTGTCCAAATCTGGGGCGATTTTCTCTGATGGTGTGTGCCCTTCCCCAACCTCTGCACTGCACAACCCACTCCCATCCCACCAAGTGGGGGGAATTCCCTCCCCAGGGACTGGTTTTCATGTTCCCTCTGAGCAAAGTGGTCCAGGCTCCACTTTGCGTGGTGAGCTGGTCCCTGGTCTGCTCCAGCCTGTGCTGCTGGGCTTTCCTTTGTCTTTCATGTGGATGCACCCCCACCTTCCGAAGATCGAGGAGTGCTCTGCTCACCCAGCACCTGGTTGTGGGTCATTTGGAAGCTCCCCCTTTGGCCTGGAGTGGCTGCTCCCATTGAGTGGAGTCATGGAGAGTGTTCCCTCATATCTGAGCTCTGTGCACTTGTACAGCTTTGCTTCAGTCAAGAGCAGCACTGAAAACACACCCATGTCTTCCTGAGATGAGCAGCTGCTCTGTCCGGACTGTTTTTCCAAGCACGTGCTCATTTTCAACATGGAAAATCCAGTGAGATTAAAACCAAATCACCTTGTAGTGAGGGGCTGGGTGTCAGCAGGGGAGTCAGGACTTGGTGTGTATGTGAGTCCCCTGTCTGAACTGTTCTGGACCTGGGTGCCACCAGGAAGCCCTGCTCACCCTCACTAGGGCTCTGCTGCTGGTACGCGAGATTAGCTGTCGCTGGTTCATGCCACGCCTGGGATGTGAGCTCTAGAATGTTCCTCCCCACTTACTTTCCTGGCCAGCCCGCTCCTTCCCTTCTTCCTGTTCAGTACTGTCCTCCTGTTGCGTCCCCACCTCCCCCTCGGGGTGCCTCTTTCCTCTGGCTTTGGGGGTGCTGGGCTGGGCTGGGAGCTGCCTCTGGACAGGCTCCCTTCTCTCTCAGTGCACTCCATCCCAGGAGCCTGGCAGAGCCCCAGCACACAGTAGGCGTTCAGGAACGGCCAGATGATGCAGCAGGCCTTGTCCTGTCCTCCTCCTCCTCCTCCTCACCACTGTCCCGTCTTCCCCCCTCACCACCCCAGGAGGCTGCGAGCTCGACCTGGCCTGCTTTTTCCGGCTGATTAACGAGATGGGCGGCATGCAGCAAGTGACTGACCTCAAAAAATGGAACAAACTCGCAGACATGCTGCGCATCCCCAGGACTGCCCAGGACCGGCTGGCCAAGCTGCAGGAGGCCTACTGCCAGTACCTGCTCTCCTACGACTCCCTGTCCCCCGAGGAGCACCGGAGGCTGGAGAAGGAGGTGCTCATGGAGAAGGAGATCCTGGAGAAGCGCAAGGGGCCACTGGAGGGCCACACGGAGAACGACCACCACAAGTTCCACCCGCTGCCCCGCTTCGAGCCCAAGAACGGCCTCATCCACGGCGTGGCGCCCAGGAATGGCTTCCGCAGCAAGCTCAAGGAGGTGGGCCAGGCCCCGCTCAAGACGGGCCGGCGGCGCCTCTTCGCTCAGGAAAGGGAGGCGGCCAAGGAGGAGGAGGAGGACAAGGGCGTCCTCAGCGACTTCCACAAGTGCATCTACAAGGTAGGTCCCCTGCCTGCGGCCTGCACTGGTGGGCAGCAGGTTCCACAAGCACGTGGAGCAGGATGTGGGGGTGGGCCTACCCGGGCGAGCCAGGAGGGCGGCGGGGCGCTGGCTGTATGCAGGGACACCCTTAGTCTTTGAACACCTCCGAGGTGGCAAGCCGAGGCAGGGGACCACAAGTTTTAGGCCAGCCTGGGCAACTTAGCGAGACTCTATCTCAGAATAAAATTTAAAAAGGGCTGGGGATGTGGTTCAGGGGTTAAGTCCCCAGCGCCACCACACACACAGAAAAAGAAAAAACCAACGTCCCAGAGCGAGTGACGGGTGAGTGGGTGTTTTTCTGGAGGCTGGGAGGTCGTGGCCCAGGGTGCCAGCAATCTGAGGAGGGTGGGTTTGCAGCATCCTAATTTGGCGAAGGGCAGAGACTCGCCCTAGTTGTCCCACCGCCTGACACCGTTGCAGTGGGAATTACACTCCAACTCGTGTTCCGGAGGGAGGGCAGGCACATGCAGCCCCTGGCCAGTGCTGTGGGGTTCAGAAGGTGCATTTGTAATGAAGAGAGAGCCTGTGGTTTGTCCAGGGAGGCTGGTGTCTGATGGTCAATGATGCGAGTCTTGGACATCTGGCCAGCAGCAGCCACCTCTGGCTCTGCCCCTTGCGAGTGCTGTGTGTGACCTTTACCTCTCTGGACCTTCTGCATTTCTTTCATGAAGGTGTGTGTGTGCCGTGCCAGGACGCAGTGATGGTGTGCGTGTTGTCTCTGCACTCCCTTCTCCACCAGGGGCCCGTGAGCGTCCTCACTGAAGGACCCCTGGCCCTCTCTTCTGCCTCCTCCCTTCTGTTTCCCACAGCCTGCTGCCTCGCTGCCCCATCCCAGCATTGCCGGGTCTCTGCCCTTCGCAGAGGTCTCGTAGGAACTGCGTGGAAGGGCCGGGCAGGGCAGACCTTTCCCAGAGAAGCCGATCCTTCCTCTAAGAAGCAAATGGAGGTGATGACCTCCTCTTGGCAGCCCACCTGCCTCCCTCCTCAGCCTCCAGGAGCCGCAGGGCACCTCAGGGCCAGCTGGCAGAGCCAGGTGTGATCTCCAAGTTGAGGCCTGGCCCAGCCTGGCCCTGTGTGCTGGTTGGGGATTCGCGGGAGGGAGTGCTTTTGGACGAGGTCTCGGCCCGCTGCCCTTCCCTCTGTGGTATCTTGGTGGGGTGCTGGGGCTGGTGGGTTTCTGCTGCGTGGGGGATGGGTAGTCCTTACCCTGCCTGGCTCACTGCAGGCTCCAGCTGTCCTTGCTCCAGGGTTTCCCCATGGACTGAGGAGATACATGGAGCTCCTCGCTGGAGCCCAGGTCTGTGGACCTCCTTCCCTGGGCCAAGCCCCCCGCCTCTTCTCTGGGCTTTGCATTTGCTTCTGGCCTATAGGAAGAGGTGCCTGTGCCTACAAGATTTTGTGACGAACTGCAGAGGGTTTTGTCTCTTTGGTTTAACTCTCCATCCCAACATCTTCTGCTGCCTCTTGGAGTCACAGGCATGGGGCCTGGGGAGCTGCCACCCGCAGCCTGCTCCCACCTTCATCTGAGCTGTGAAGTGTGTTCCTGGACGGGAGAAGCTGCTCCTGGAGACCGCCTAATTTATTTAGGGTGTTTCCCGAATCCTCGAGAAGCCATTCTCCTTTAAAGCCACTCGCCAAATCCTGGGATTCTGAATAATCGTCCTCTTTCCCCTGTTGGCTGCTGTTTATTTCAAAAGACCAGTGCAGCAAGAGTGTTCAGTTCCCAGGCACCATAGCGCATGCCTGTATCCCAGTTACTCGGGAGGCTGAGGCAGGAGGATGGTGATTTTGAGGCCAGCCCCAGCAACTTAGTGAGATTTTGTTTCACGATAAAATAAATAAGGGAAGGGATGTATCAAGGGCCCCTGCGTCAATCCCTAGCACCTCCACAAAAAAATGTTGGATCCAAGAAAGGGTTTTTGTTGTTCTAAAAAAACATGTTTTGTCAAAGATGTCTTTAGATTTAATTGCAAAAATTAATGAAGCTGGTCAAGGGATACGTGCCTCTGACCATGCAGGGTGGTGACTAGCCAGCACACCCCACTCCTATGTCCCCATCACCTCCATTCACTTTAGTCCAGTCACTTAGTGCAAAATCGGGTCTCGTAGGTACATTTCCATTCTGCAGGGAGGTGACTTTCCTGCAAACAGCAGGACAGAAAAACCAAATTCCAGAACCTTCCCCCCACCACCTTGATGGTGCCCAAGGGCAGCTGCCTGGTTTAGAGTCTTGCTCTTACTTTGGAGGAGTGCTGGCGTGTCACTCCAAAGGGGAAGCTTCCTGACCAGCTCCCAGGAGCCCCTGCCCCCTCCCTCGTGGAGCCGCCTGTAGTGCCCCGCTCTTCCTGGGACACAGTAGGTGCTGGATGTTTATTTCTGAGTGATCAACGTGCCTGTCAAAACCCGGAAAGGCAGGGTCTTAGAAGGCTCTGGTGGCACTGGTCAAGGCAGGAGCAAAGGCCGCGTTCCTAGGTTTCCACGGTGGCCGTTTTATTGAAGTGACTTGAGTTTTTCAGGGAGTGGGGCCAAAGAGGGTGTGGCCATTGGGCCCTCTGCCAGAGGGCAGCACGTGGCTTCTGTGGCCAGAGTGGTGTGGACATCCCATTCTCCAGGGGGATGCCTGGTCATTGCTGCTGGTGTCTGCATTAGGCCCGTGAGCTTAACTGGTCCTCCCCTCACATGGGGCCCCTGAGGGTTTCTGTCCAGAGTGTGAGGTGCTTTAGGAAGTCCCTTGTGCTGTCGTCAGAGTGCTGCTGCTCCTGCCTTCTGGGGCTGGCACCTGTTTCTGGTGGAAACTGGCCCGGCTGCTGCTCACGGTGGTCAGTGGAGGGGTCGCCTTCTCCATCTCTTGACACTGGGGACTCAGTGCCTGGTCTGAGGATTTTTTTTAAACCGTCATTTCTGCTGGCCATTAACTCGGGACACAGTGGCCCAGGGCTGCAGGGGAGACACAGGCCGAGGCCGTGACTGGCATGTGGCCTGATTGGTGGTGAGCTTGGCTTTGTGTTTTAAGCTTCTCTCTGGTGTTTCCTTTCATTTCAGGGAAGATCTGTTTCTCTAACAACTTTTTATAGAACAGCAAGAAATATCATGAACATGTGTTTCAGCAAGGAGCCTGCGCCAGCCGAGATCGAGGTGAGTGGCACCCCCGCAGTGTTGGGCAGAGTGTACACAGGGCCGCCCAGCATTGCACGGAGTTGATCGAAATGCACCCGGACACCAGAAAGGGTGTCGTGAGACCGAGGTGGGCAGGCCTCTCCTGACCGCGCCCCGATTCAGACGTGGCGAGTCGTCCAGCTTTGGGGCAGGGATCTGAGCCTCCCTCGCCCCTGTCCAGCAGGCCCCTCCCACAGCTGCCTCGCCCCTGTCGGATTTCCTTGGAGCTGGGCTGTACTGCTCGCCCCTCTGGCTTCCTCTGTGATGGAGTTGGCAGATGGCCACCCTTGGCTTCTGCCAGCTCTCCTCGAGTTACTACAGGGTTGGAAAGACAGCACTTCTGTGTCCAGACCAATTAGGGGAGGTTTTGTGTGCAGTGCTATGGGGCAGAACTGGGGTCTGTTTACCTGCCGTGACCAGGCACAGTTGGAGTCCCTGTGAACTCCAGCTGCTAACGTAGTTGATGTGGAAAGGGAAGCCAACCCTACTCTTATCACTTGGTTGGGGCATCCACAGCTGCAGAGCAGGCAGGTCTGAGGACTGCAGCCACACCTGGTGTGTGTGAGACAGGCTTCCTGTGTCTTTAATGATGGTTGCCACCTCTTTAAGGTAAAATCCCAGGTACAGCCTCTTGGGAGGCTGAGACAGGAGAATGTCAACTTCAAGGCCAGACCCCACAACTTAGTGAGACCTTGTCTTAAAAACTGAAAAGGCCTAGGTTCTGTACCTTGGGTCTCAAGAATAAATAAATAAATAAAATGCAGGTGGGTGTACTCTGGCACCTGGTGACCTGGGGTCCTGGACGTGGAGCTGCCACTGCTCTCCCTGGACAGTATGTGGCAGCTCAAGCCTGCTGCCCTCACTTGGGGACCCTGTTTACTTTTGTCAGCTTTCAGTCCTTTCCAGCTCTTGGCCATTGGCTGCTGACCCCTGCTGCCGCTCTGGGTCTCCCTGGTCCTGGTTCTCACCCTTGAGGCCCTCAGAGCTGTTCCTTGGTAGCAGTGTCAGGAGGCGAGCGTGGCTTTGGGAGCTAAGCATGTGAGCTGGAGAGAGGTCTTGGCTACTCTCCCTGCGGCCCAGCAGGAGGGTCCTCAAGCTGCAGGTGACTCTCGCCATTGTGTGTGCCCACTTTATCTTTGGTATTCAAAGATGAGCCTGGGTTTGGCTGCAGCGGTTACATAAATCTTTAAACACAGCAAAGATTTGCTGAAGTTGAGATTTCAGCCTGAGGCTGGCCAGCTTCTTGTGCCTTGTGTCTTAACAAAAACGCCAGGCCCTTCTCCTTCCCACAGCCAGCAGCTGAGGCGGCCACTGCTTATGTGGAACGACCGTCCTCTCTCCCAGATCTTTGTGCATGTCCACATCTTGTGTGTCTCTGTCTCAGCTCCTGGGTGGCGGGGTGCGGGGCTTCTCCAGTCCTTGGTGGTGATCCCCTTCGTGGTTTGTGGACATGGACCCTCCAGCTGGTGGCTCTTTGAGGGAGTCACGCTGTCCTCCTCCTCCTCCTGGGAGCTGCATCTGGGATGTGATGGCTAGTTAAGCGAGGCTCCTGCCTGTGGGGTCTGGAGATGGGGATGAAGCTGCTTAGCTTCTGGGATGCTAAAGAGCAGACGAGAAGGGCCTCCGAGGGGAGGAGGAGGAGGAGGAGGCTGATCAGAGACGCTCCTGGCCCACCTTCTGCCATGTTGATCTCCACGTGTGGGTCCTGTGCACACCCAGCCCCCAGCTCTGCTCGAGCTGGCTCCCACCGAGGCCTGGGTGCTCGCAGCTGGGTGCTGCCTGCAGGGTGCTGGCCCCACATCATGGAAGGTGCTGATTCTTGGGCTGCTGAGCTCCATCTGAGCAGGCGTGTGGCGGGCTTCGTCCTCCTCAAGCTGGCTTTTAGCGTGTGACACCACAGCTGCTCTAACATGTGTGAGCTTGGTGCCGAGTCCTCACGTCCACGCAGGATGCTGCCCGTCCCTCCCCAGTGCCCATCGTGCCCCCCTCCCCCCCAAGGCCAAGACTGAGCCCTCGAGTGCAGTGCCCGCTCTCCCCTTGCTGCTGGCAGCCATTCCCCTTGTCAGGGATGACCTCCTACGAGGGGACGGATTTTGTGACTGGCTTATTCGGGGAGCATGACCTCGGGGGCGTGGGTCAGTGTTTCTCTCGAGGCAGGTGATGTTCCGTGGCACGAATACGCCTGGCTCTTCCCTCTAGCCCGTGTGCCAGGGTACCTGTCCCCGAGGCCCTGCTTCAGTCAGCAGGGTGATCGGCTGGCACCTTCTGCTCGGCCTCCTGTAGGGGGCACTCTGCCGGGCCTGGGGACGTGGCGTCTGTTTGTCGGGCTCCTCCGTGGCAAGTAGTGTCCTGTGTGGGGCTGCTCCAGGACTCTGGCCCCTCGAAGGTGCTGACTGGCTCTTTCCTCTTTCCTGTAGCAAGAGTACTGGAGGCTAGTGGAAGAGAAGGACTGCCACGTGGCTGTGCACTGCGGCAAGGTGGACACCAACACTCACGGCAGCGGATTCCCAGTGGGGAAATCAGAACCCTTTTCAAGGTAGCAGTGGCGTCCTTTGTCCACATTCCGGGGACCAGACACCACCCTCCTGGCCCTGTCTGTGACACTTTTCATCTTCCTTTCTGTAGGCACGGATGGAACCTCACCGTCCTCCCCAATAACACAGGGTCCATCCTGCGTCACCTCGGTGCTGTGCCTGGTAAGCCTGAGGCCACACCTGAACCCCGCTCTGAGAAGTCCCCGGGCACCTTACAGGGTGGGGTGTATCCACCAAAACCGACTCTCAGAAGAGGGAGGAGTGAGATTGCAGCTGGCGAAGAGGAGGTGGACGCAGACTTGGGCAGCACGCGAAGCCCAGGGCCACTCTGCGCCTGGGAAAGTGCACTCGAAGGTCCTTCAGGCTCTAGCAGGCTGTGTCCTCTGGGCTGGGAGTGGCGGGTGGAAGCTGAGTGCTGTCGAGGCCCGGAGTGGGAAGCCCAGGCGCCGACTTCGGGAGCCCACACCCTCTTCCTGGGCTGCGGCCTTCCTGAGCTCGGGCCGCGTGGGCTTGCGGTTGGCACCTCCATCTCGGGATGGACGCTGCAGCCCCAAACTGGTGGTTCGTTGACTATGGTCATCCTTGTAGTCTCAATCCTACCCCAAAGGTGTTCTTTACTGTTAGGAACATTGTCCTTATTCTTGGATTCAAAGCAACAAAGAGCAAATGATACCTTCGTGTGGAGTCCTCAGGGTTTGAAGCCAGTTCTTGTTTGGGGTTTCCTCGAGTGTTTCACAGTGCTGTCCCTCTCTTCTAGGAGTGACTATTCCCTGGCTTAACATTGGCATGGTCTTTTCTACCTCATGCTGGTCTCGAGACCAAAACCACCTTCCCTACATTGACTACTTACACACTGGTGCTGACTGCATTTGGTGAGTAGCGGGCGGGTGGGCCTCCTCCTCCTCCTCCTCGCATTTCGCATGTAGTGGCCACTGTCGCCTCTTGTCATCTGCCTGTTGTGTCTGCGTCATTTCCCCGTGGTGACAAGGAGTAGCATCACAGAAACTTGACCAACAGCAGGGCTGCACCGACTTCCCCTCAGTACCTGCTCTGTGGGGCTGCTCAGGAGTGGCCGTCTCCAGGTCTGTTTGGAGCGGGGCTCTCCCTGAGCACAGGGACTGCGAGGACAGCAGACCATCCCCGGGCAGCCCTCTGGGTTGTGTCCCGCACCAGTTGAGCCATGCAGGGTGGGCATGTGGTGTTCCGTTGGCCCCTGGACCCTGGCTCAGCTGTGGCCAGTCCCAGTCATGGCTGGCTCTTGGGTTTGTTTATGGAGACATCATAGAAGACGGCACTCGCTTAGCTGCCTTGCCCCGTATACTGCAGGCATCACATTCATTTCTAATGGGGTGTTCTTAGTGAAGTAAAACCAAACCCTATAACTAGTGTGGTCTTCCCGGAGCTGGCTGGCATGGGTCGCTGTCGACTGTTGTGGCTTTGATCCTGCTGGTGGGACTGGGACCTGGGGGAACCGGTTGGGGATCATCAGTGTCCGGTAGCAGAGCGGGGTGGATGTGGTCTTGAGGCCTGGGTGGTGGATGGCTGCAGGACGCTGTCCCCTGCGGGTTCTCGTGGCCGCTGGGCCTCTGTGGCTCACACTGTGACGGGGCAGAGCTGACTTTGCTCTGAAAGCTGAGGGGCTGCGTGGGCGGGTTGAGTCGGAGGTGGCGATCGCGAGGTTGTGTGGGCTCTGGAGTCTCCTCCCTGGACTCACCTTGATGGAGGGAGGCTGGGGTGCGATTGGGAATTCTGGGGGTGTTTTGTTTTAGTCCCCCAACGTGTGATTTGTGCTAAGTGCCCCATATCTAAATCAAAAGCCAGTAACAGAATATGCTGGCTTTGAAGTAGTATAAACGTTTAGAAAATGCATAAATGTAGCCGTCACTTTTAACTCGGCAACTGAAACCTGGATTTGGCCTCAAGGCCAAGTGGGGCCCCGGCGCCCAAGAGGCTATGCCCAGCCCTGCTGGTGGGAGGTGGATGTGAGGAACAGCAGGGACAAGGGACAAGGGAGCTGTTGGTAGTGGCCCGCGGTGTCCTCCACTATCCTCGTCCCTGCTCTCGCTAGTGGTCGATGACATCACTGGCAGCCTTTGGTCTTGCCAAACCCTGTCCCCTCTGATGATGCCCTTTTGCCCATTGCCTTACCCTTTCCTTGCTGGCTGCCCCTGTCCCTCCTGGGTGGGCACCCGGGGATCCCAGTGCTGCTGTTGGAGCTTCAGGTCCTAAACCTGTGGTGGCTCCTCCACAAGGGCATCAGGTGCTGGCAGCGGCCCGGGCAGGAGCCGGCTGCTTCTCTGTGCTCGGAGAGGCCTGTGGATGTGCAGGAGTGCCTGGTTCTGATTTGTAGGGGTTTGGAACATCTGGTTTTGCTTTGGAGGCTTTTGGCTCACAGTGTGGCTCAGATCTTCATAAAAGATGAGCTGCACCCCCGGGTGTGGCTGCGGTTTGGCTGTGTGCTGGGCGGAAGCAGCCCTGTTGCCCAGGGTGTGCTCGGGAGGCTGGCCGTGAGAGGGCCAGCTGCTGGCAGTTGAGTCCTGCTTCTGCTGGGCCCGCCCCCAGGGTGGCCAGCGCACACAGGTCAAGCCCCGCTTCTGCCCGTCTCTCCCGCCCAGGTATTGCATTCCTGCTGAGGAGGAGAACAAGCTGGAGGACGTGGTGCACACCCTGCTGCAGGCCAACGGCACCCCCGGGCTGCAGATGCTGGAAAGCAACGTCATGGTACGCCCCGCCACCTCCCCAGCAGGGCCCCGACTCCTGGGCAGATAGACTAGGGGACCCTGGAGCTGTTTATGAAGCTGCCCCGTCCTCCTTGCTGCTTGCCTTCCTCTGGCACGAAAGCCAACCTTAAGGCTTTGCATCTGGGGCATGGGCGCCAGGTCCCAGGCTCCGCGGCCTCGGAGCCTCTTTCTGACGTGTTCATTTGCCTACAGGTTGGAGTGTCCTTGGGTGGTGGGGGGGTTGATTTGAGAGGCTTGGGTTGGCACTCTGGTTCTCCTGCCATCCCACAGCTGTTATTTGGAGAAGCCTGGCTCTGGACAGAAATGAGTGCAAGGGTGGTTCTTCGATTTTCAGAAGGCCTCGGGCTGTTGAGTCCCCCAAGCCCGTGTTGTCCTGAGCTGTGTTCTGACCCGTTGGCTGAGGGGCTTCTCTGGCTTCCTGTCTGTGCTGGTCCTACCCATCGGAGGAGGGAGCAGCAGCCTCCTGCATTGGCCGGTGGGCAGGAAGGCTCTGGAGGGGTTTGTGGCTGACGGGCAGCTCTGTGCTCTTGGCCTCTGCCTGTGGGAGCCTGCTGTCCATCCTCAGCCTCTGACCGTTTAGGACTTTTTAAAGAATTGTCTGTGTTTTTTAAGGGGAAAAGTGATCTGATCTCTTTGAGAGCTGGCCTTGAGGTCCTCACTCCAGGTGTTCTCAGCAGGCCTGCTGGGCAGACGGGCGAGGACCCCGGGTCTGTGGGCAGTTGGGCTGGGAGGCTGCTGATGGAGAGGCCTTGTGCCTCACCTGGCCTCATCTCCCCAGATCTCCCCGGAGGTGCTGTGCAGGGAGGGCATCAAGGTGCACAGGACGGTACAGCAGAGCGGCCAGTTCGTCGTCTGCTTCCCGGGGTCCTTCGTGTCCAAGGTGTGCTGTGGCTACAGCGTCTCAGAAACCGTGCACTTTGCTACCACCCAGTGGACAAGTATGGGCTTTGAGACGGCCAAGGTAAGCAGGTCCCCCACTGCCCAGTCCCGCTGCTGTTGCGGTGCCCCGGGGATACGTCCTCCATAGGCGCTCTCCCTGCAGATGAGTGTGGACGGAGCGGGTCTCTGGAGTCTTTAAGGAATAAACCCTGGAAGGGTTTTCTGGGAGATGGTTGTTGGGCTTTGTATCATAAAGAGTTTCCCTGTCTGTCACTGGCTGACCCCTCTGGTACTGGGGGACCACAGAGGTATGCCTAGGGAGCACACTTAAATTGAGTGTGTTGACAGTCCCTGCTAGTGCTGGTGTTTTCCCAGCCTCGGGGCTGGCAGCAAGGTGCTGGGACTTCTTTCTGGTGCCCTTCTCCAGGTAAGGAAAACTTCTCAAGTTTCAATAGATTTAGCTCCAGTGCGGTTAGCAGTTTGGAAACTGAGGTGGCCTCTGCCTCCCCAGGAACCTGAGCAGCTGCTCTTCTCTTCCAGGAAATGAAGCGCCGCCATATAGCCAAGCCGTTCTCCATGGAGAAGTTGCTCTACCAGATTGCACAAGCGGAAGCAAAAAAGGAGAACGGTCCGACTCTCAGTACCATCTCGGCCCTTCTGGATGAGCTCAGGTACCATAGATTTGACCAAGACCCCACGCTGAGGCCTGAGTGGCCGCAGGGCCAAATGGGCAGAGATGTTGGGGAGCAGCCTGTTTGCTACAATGTCCCCTTTTGTCTTCGTGCATGATGTTGGTTGCCAGTCTCCTGACAGTTGATGCAAAGTGCATGGCCCAAGGGGTTGATCCTCCTTGGAGGAATGAATGCATGCTAGGCTCTGGACCCTCAATCCTGGCACCTCTTTGCCATGGGTGTCAGGGCCTGGATCTGCACGCTATAGTTTGAGTGGTATGGTGAACAACCTGCCCACCTCTCACTTCTTGCCAAACTGCCTGTGTCATGTGTGTGGCTTCCTGGGCAACTGGTGAGCACTAGCACCCGGAGCACATGGGGAGTGCTGGCCACCCTGCCCCAGCCCAGACTGCATCCCGCCATGGCTGCCAGAGCTCTGCTGAATGCCGTGGCAGGCCAGGGCAGTGTGATGGCTCTGCCTGTCTTCTGCTAACCCCTTCTCCTGCCCTCTAGCCCCACACTCCCTCCCTCTGCACGGAGGGGTGGGGGGTCCCCACATTGCTGGTGGGCAGCACGTAGATTTCACTTGGGTGGTCAACTCTTGGCTACTGATGGCGGGTAGCTTGCCTGACACATGTCTGGCCTGCTCAGCATGTAGCAAGAGCCCTCTGTAACTGGATGGCAGGCTTCGCTGTGTGCCATGTCTGAACCCCAGGTTAACTTCTTCTGGTCTTTTGGCTAAAGAGAAAGGCTGGGGTTTGGGCAGGTTTGCGGGACTCCTGACTGCACATGTGGGCCTGGTGGGGGTGTCCCCTCTGATGAC